TGGTCTGAATACATGCTTGCGACCGAGGTGAACCCTCAAAATTGGGGCCGTAGGATGAACGAGTGCTCTGTAACTCAGAGAAAGGCCAGGATAGGCCAAATGAAGATCCAGGCTACTAAATTGGAAGTAGATGGATGTACCTGGATGACCAACTCTATTCCAAAATGCCGACTGCTCCTACAAAAAATCCGACCATCAGCACGACCGAAATTGGGTGATTTTAGATTATGGCCTCCAGAGTAATCAGAAGTTAATGAATAAAATCTCGAAATGCCTCTCAGAAGGGAGGATTAGATAGTAAGAAGTCCTGTGCAAGATTCCAGACCTATGTCATAGCCGTGTCGTGGACCGCGACGGTGGCAGCATGACTGACCTACAAATAAAGTCGTGCTTTTCCCGAGTGTGTTAAGAATGGTGTGTCGGTCAATTGACATTGAGCAACCTTGCAGAGGGAAGCCCAGTATCGGGGGATCCGAACGAGCCCCCAAAGTCGCGGATCGACGAAGAAATGGCGATCGCAAAAAGGCTGGTGGGCCGATTGATAAGAAATTGATGTCCCCACGCTTCGGATCCTGATCCGCGATGACGTAGATGTCGATCAACTCATCACTTTCGGCCGAAATTTGGTCTGAACATTCATTCGAGGTCGTATTCCCTTCTGCCCAGTCATAATTGTAAAGCCCTGGCCTTCTAGCTGCCAATGGCCAACTAGGTGGGGTGGCCAACTAGGGGGTCCCAAATAGTACATAAAAGTACAAGTTGTACTTTTATGTACTGAAACAGAGCAGACAATCATTGCAGTTGTACTGTACAACTGCAATGATTGTCTGCTCTGTTTTATCGAGCAAGTCGTGAGCAAAGCAAGATATCCGTCTAGTTCAACGTACAACATACATAAAAAGTACAGTTATAATAATTGTCTTCTCTACTTTATCGACCCAGGAAGAAGCGTGTGTTTCGTGTATATAATTACAGGTCCATGTGAATCAGACAAGGCGTCTCGATCCTTGTCCCTCGGGGGGCATATCTTGCTCCTCGTTAATATCATGTGGCACCGACCGGCTCAAGGCCATCGATGCGGTGGAGTATTCGGAGTTGACGGACGACGCAGTGGAGGGGTTGCGCATGAGAGGCATAGCGGGGGTCATGGTGTGATTAATTTCGGAGGGCGGTGTGGGCGGTACGACGTCGATTTCGGAATGCATCGACGGCGGCGCGGGTGTGATATCAATATCAGGATGCATTGAGGTCGAGGCATGTGCGGGGAGAGGATGCTCGTAATGGGCCTCCTTCCAGGCGAGGTCCTGCCCGAAGCCGTACACGTCGGTCATACTTGCGTGCGAGCGAACAGTGTAGTGTGGCGCTTTGCTAACAAGGCTGGTGATACTTCGCCTCGCTCGCCGGTCGATGGTCAGCGGCGTCGAGGGTGTCAACGGCGGCGATGCGGCGTCTACTCGCCCAGAGCCTGGTGTCGAGGGCGGAGAGTAGTTCCATGGCTTGGCATCTTCGTATCGCGTAGGTTCTGGCATGAAGAGGTGCTCCGAAGTGCTACTCCCGATTTGCATTTGCCGTATGCGGCGTCGGCGATATAGCAAGAAAACGAGGGACGCAATTAGGAGCGTGGCGACTATGGATGCGGCGATTGCGGCGATAACGCCAGGCCGGTGCGACAGCGGTGTCACTCGGGCGCTGGCAATGGCGGCCTGCGAAGGATTCTATAAATTGTTTGGTGAGCTCGAAGGTGGGTGATTGATGGACGAGGCTCACTTGGCTCTGCAAACTTGGAGACATGGAAGGAGAGTTATTGGTTGAGGAGGTAGATACGGATTGTAGTGGTGTCGATGGAGAGGTTGTCGTGATTTGGGAAAGCGAGCTGGTGGGATGAGAGGATGAAAAGAATGAAGGCGAAGCAGCCTGCGAAGACGAGGCAATTTGCGAAGAGGCTCTACGCTTGTAATGAGCATCCAACACGCTGAAAATAGCGACAGTCTACCGACCGCGGGGAGCTAGACGACGATATCGCCATCGACGAAGAGGGCAGGCCGGAGAACCCCTGCGCGCTAGATGTAATATTCGGGGCGGATTGGGAAGACTGAAGGTGGACTTTAAGCTTGAAGCGCAACGTGATGTCTCGAACCAAGACTCACCATGAGCTCGCCGACAACCGAGAAGGAACGGAGGCGGCGCAGAGATTAGAAGAGAAGCAAATAGTGTACGATGGAGGGCGCGAAATGAAGGCGAGCAAAGCTGCCCATGGCACCGCCAGTGTAGGCTATATACGCCTGGCTTTAAATTAGACAGGGCGGTGCCGTGATTCGAATTTCGGAGTTATTCAATCTGAATCAGGAACAGGGGCGAGCACGTCGAAGATGTTCCTGGTTCCCCCAAGACTTCAGCGAGAGACACATCGGCCCGACTTCAGCGAGGGACACGTAGGCCCATATGCGCGTCACTGTTAGCAACTGTAAGAGGTGAGGAGGAGGCGAGCAATGCAGCGGAGCACTTGCGAGGTGATATAAATCTCAGTCTCATTGGACATACTATGATAGAGCACTCGTGAGCGCTGATCATTGAGTGATTTATGAATCTTTTGCGGCAGCTTCAAGCAAACTACATCCGTGTGATTGACTGGCAACTGACTGGGACTCGCCTGGCCGGTAAGAGGAAACGAGCCGGGAACTCGGCCAGTATTTCGAATGCCACTATCTTCCATGAAAAGCAGAACTCGAAGCGTCGAAGGCCGCACGAAAAAATGTGGTGACAGTGGAAGCCAGGCCGTTAGCGTGACGTCACACATCATGATGGATTTATCTTGCCACTCTAACTCCCATCTCGCCTCGATGAAGCGATTCCTGTCGGCCTTGAAAGGTTCTGCAAGAGTTCGGTCTCAATGTGAATTCGGCTCATTTGTCTAACTGTGTAGCAGGAAGACGTCGGACTCAAGATAACGGGCCCAATAACGACTCCAGCAGCCTGGGAGCAACAAATCTGACAGACGGCTTGAATGCGCCAAAAGAACGAGCATCTTCCCCTGATTCAAAGATAGAGAACATGTCGTTTAATGACCGTTCACCTTGGCCGGGATTCAATTCGCTCAAAAACCTTTTCATCTTGTAGGTCATATTTTTCTGATTGCCATTCGCTCAGTAATTTCAGTGGAGATTCGTATTCTGCCATTGGATACGCCGCGAATCTGCCTCCGCCGCAGAAGATTGATCGAAAAACTGTTCCATACAAGTACCTGACCTATGCCGATAAAGACGGTACGAATTGGGTAGGATATCTTCTGATGCAGCACTCTCCGCATCCCGATTTACTTGTACACGATTACGCCGCTGGAGGCGCACGTGTACCAGCGCGTGGTTTCGGCCCTGCTGTCGAAAACCAGGTGAATCGAAATTTTCTGGAGGGCTACGCCATGGACCGCGAAGTGTTGTCGTGGGATGCTGCCGATTCATTATTCGGTGAGTATTTCGGATTTACTGGCACAACCATCACCGTTTCTCTGCTCACGAAGATACGTAAAGTAACGTGGGTCGGAATAAACGATTGCGCGTAGGGAACTGAGCCCTCCGGCTACTGACGGGCTGACTATTATCAGCTATGCGCAGACGCATGCGGATACGCTTGAATTATTATTCAGCCTCGAAGAGAAACTATACGCTGCTGGGGCGCGTATATTTCTATTCATCGACGTCCCACCCGTCGGGCGAACTCCCGCAGGTATGTGTATATTGATTGTGTGCAGGGTATATGCACTTCATTAGCGACTTACAGGCACGAATGCTTCATCCGACATTAGCGCCACGTACCTGAATTGGAACTCTGACCTTCGTAAGTCAGTGCAGACTTTTGCCTCTGCCCACTCCGACGCGCGAGTGCTCACCTTCTCCGCCTTGGATACCTTCAATCGCATACTCGATAATCCGAAAGAATACGGGATCCCGAAGGAAGACGTTAGTCGAGCAGGCGGCGCTGTTTGGCGAGACAAACTGCATCCGACCAGCAAGATCCACGAAATATTTGCGCAGGAAGTAGTCGCGTTTTTGAAAAGTCTGCCGTGTGGAATAAGTAATCTATAACTTCAACGAATGTTCTAACATTATTAAACACGGGCATCTGTCGCCGGCGGACATTCATCAATTCTCGGTTGCTGGGTGCAGAGCCTCACACTGAGTCACACAGCCTTGGCTTCTTTCTTTCCCCCACCCTCACCTCATACCATTCTTTTGCAACTAGGCTGGCCTAAATGTCCGGAAACGACTGCTGTGACATGTTCCTGTCCTGCTGCATGTGCTGCTGTGCGTTCGCATTCGATTCCGTTTCTTGCTTCAGATTCAGGCGTGTGACTAAGCTCGTTCTCGTCATAGCACTGTGCAGCCACAGCACCGATAGCTCTTGCATCCGGGGCATAATAAACTTATGTGCGTCGCAATATACATGCAACCTCCTTTCTGATTTGTTTTGGTCCCAGTTCCGGAGGGTTGGTGCACTAAACTGGGATGGTGCAGCAGCAAATTGGACGACACATACACCGAGGACGCGGTCGTTGCAGAGCGCGACCGGGAAGCGGAGCTCTTCCAGGGAAACAACACGCAGCATCAACCCCAGGGTGTTCCTGCCATGGACGAGAAATCTGGGGGAATGAACATACGGGACAAGTCGCACATAATGTGTGCGTGTGCAGCTGTCTACAGCTGCGATATGATACTGACGATATGGATCATTTACTGCAGAGGATCTCCCGGCCGTATGTTGCACTTAAATACGTATACCCTGCATTACGAGTTACGAGGGTAAATTAATGCCGCGCCCGAATAAATCCGCCTCTCTTGTAAGGACGGTCCTCGGTGAACCACACAGAAATCAAAATGCGTAAAGACACTGGATCCAGGGGGGCGCACTGTTGCTGATGGACGATTTCTTGCGCCATGAGTTGAGCAGTCGCTGTGCATATGACTTGCCCAGTGGACAACGTTACATTGAGGCACGGATCACACAGCAGCATGGCGCAGTCTGGAAGCGCGCGGGGCCCATATTCACCCTAGGGCACCCCGAGGTCACTCGATCGAAACGAGTTGCTGCTATATCTTTTCGCGATTGTTTTGGATCACTCTTGGCTTTTTCTAATCACTCGAAATCTATGTTTCGGCCAACTTGGTCGAGACGAAGTTCAGTACTCGCGCTGCCAAGGCAGACATTCAATGAAGGAAGGAAAGAAGGAATGAGGAGAATGGAACAAAAACCACAACATGCAGTGCACAATACAAGAGATTAGCGGGTGATTTCGCGAGCTCTGTGGTTGGTGGTGACGGTGCCGGAGGGTCGGAGCCAAAGGCTGGCTTGAAAAACAATGGCCCCGGGTAATTTTTTGCTCCATCCAATTATGATAAAACCGGTTTATGAAGTAGTGTACATAAGCACTACACGAGCTCCCCATACCGGCACACACTGCCCGTTAGCATTTCTCGATTTTCGTAAGCCCACGGCAAGTCGGCAACAACATCAGAACAATCCATCGCAATTCACCAATTGGCGAGATCTGTTTCCGCCTCGCCGAAGACGCTGGTGTTTTTTACCTGAAAGTCGGGCGCACTTGCAATCGGATCCGCGGCATAGCATTCACCGTCCGCGCCCGTGTACAACTCTGGTAGCTCGCGGCGCAAGAATCGCACGATATGTCCATTGATCTGCGCAAACTCGAGCAGAAAACCGTCGTGTCCATCGGGAGAGTCAATCATCACAAGATCCGCGCTTGGAATATGCCCTGCAAGCTCGCGCTGCTCACTCGGCGTGAAGAGCCCATCGCTCGCCACACTTATGACCAACGCGCGGGGCGGGATCATGGATAATATACTCGGAAGCGCAGCGCCGTCATCGTCATCGTCCGGAGAAGTGGTGCGCCCGCGCGCAACATCGTGGGTGTCAAGCTTCCGGGTGATATGGATGTAACAGTTCGCGTCGAAGCGTGCAGTGAATTTTTGGCCCTGATACCGGAGGTAGGACTGGGCAGAAAAAAGTGGCGGCTTTGCTGCGATCATTTTGTGGTGCCCGTCATTGTGCGCCGCCACAGCCGCGTCTTCAGGCGATTGCGATGAGGGCGGAGGCGAACTAGGTGGGGTTGGTGCAGTGGTGATGGAAAGATTTTTGGGTTGGGCCCGCCGCCCGAAGCGGCTTTCGAAGGAATCGCGCGAGCGATATGTAAGGAGTGCGCTCATGCGCGCAGCAGAGAGGCCCGACGCCGGCTGGGTGAGGTAAAACCCGTGTTTGTAGCCGGGGTCGCTGTAAATACTCTGGCGCTGCGCTTCTCCCCACGAGATACACCACCTGTGGAGGTCCAGGTGAGGAAATGGGGCGAAAATAATTTGTTAAACGTTTTGCACTGACGCAGAGTGGCGAGCTGATGTTGCGATGGGGATAACGTGCCGTATATATCCTCGCGGCGTGCAGAGTGGCCATTCGAGAACGGTCATGCCGCCCATGGAGCCTCCTATGGCCACTGCAACAGAGTTCACGCCCAGATAGTCAAGAACATGCTTGTGTATCCTTCAATACCAGGTGAGTTCGACTGATTCTGTCAACGGCTCGAAACTGTTGGAGGGTACGAACCGTACGTCATCTCGAATAGTTGTCGCAGGAAACTCTGGTCCATATGGCCTACCTGTGTCCGGATTTGTAGTTATCGGGGACGCAGACCCATATGGAGATCCCAGAACATTCGCACAGAAGATAAAAAACCGCTCCGGATCAAATGCCTTGCCTTCACCTAGTAATGGACCCCACCTGTTAAAAAAAAGAATGAATTATGCCAGTCGTGTTATACGTTACCTCCTACCAGTCCTCGACGTCCGCGCTGCCTGTAAATGCGTGACAGATAATCATAACATTATCCCTGCTGCTATTGAGCGTCCCCCACGTTTTGTACGCAACAGGAACATCGCGCAATGCTGTACCATATTCCAAATTGAACGAAGGAACGATGAAAATCGATTGATCCAAGCGTATGAGAGATTCAGTCATTGGGGTCAGGAGCAAGAGTATTTACGACTGTTTTGCACATGAGTCATCTAGTACTGTACTGCCACCTGCCACCTTGCTGCCACCACCACGACGCAATAGAGTCTATCAAGTATCTATTCAGTAAGTCATAATACTCCGTGCTAACTTGCAATGACAATATTCCGTGCGAGCAAGGGACATCACCCCCACGCGCTGGCAAGGTGCGGCAGTTCAAGTCACTGCTGCTACGAGGTACGAGCGTCCATATAAGCGTCTATCTACGTGAGACTAAGTTGGCGCCCAGCGGCGTTTCATACTATGATAATAAAAATAATCATACCAGGAGCGTGCGGGAGCGCGGACGCAACGCATGGATAAAGGCCTGATGTATATCCAACCGTATACACCTAACATATCACGGCAGGAATAGTTAGACTCGGACTTGAACATTGACTATTCACTCAACCTCCACGATACTTATCATCGGACTTATCACCATGTCAACGTGACAAGCGGACTCGGACCTATAATACCAGCCCCCATTATTTGTCCGAGACCTTGATTTTGCGTCGTGCGCATGAGCGACCTCGAGGCTTTACTCGGCGCACAGGCGGTGAATCGAAGCGCAGGGAGGGTTCATTAATGTCTCCTCTTAATTCCCAAGGCTGAAGTTTCATCGCAGTTGCCAGTCTAGCGCTTCTCACGTACGACATACTCCTAACCTTCGATGAAGAGGTGAGTCTTCCATATGATGCCTATTCACCGTATAAACTGATTCTGGGTAGGTCGCAGTAGTCTGGTCGTAAGGCATATCTCTTTGTGCTTCACCTCATACTCAAAACTTCTGATATACAGAAGACCATGGACAGCAATGAAATGCCTATTCTTCTTCGTCCGGTATTTCCCGCTGCTTCTGCACATGTCCGTTTTTCCCTCTGACAATAATTTGCCCTTCTGAATTATCAGCATCGAACAGATCGGTTTTATTTGTCGGGACAGATCTGACCCCGCCACTCAACCGGACCTTTCATGACTGTGAGGTCTGGGCAATTTATCAAGCTGTGGCGGTCCTCGTCCTTGTTGCGGCCGTCGACTATATTTTGATCTTGAGAGGTATGCATATGTGCAAAACTTCACTCTTTGCTCAGCTGTCGTAGTGTTCGCATTATATGTCAACCACCGACGCCTCAAGGCCCTCGTACTCAGCCTCTTTTGTGTGGAGCTGTTGGTGATGTTCTTCTCCCTCAGTTTTTCGTTATCTGGATCAAGATTCGACGACGACTATCAGTGCATCATAATTCATTTCCCCAAGTCATTCATCTTTTATGGGTCGGTAGATGCCTCCAGCCATTTATTCTTCAGCACTCTGACCTCCGTCTGCAGAGCCTCCGCGGTCCTATTCCAAACGGTGCTGTTTTCGCTCACCGTGGTCCGATTCGTCCAGGCCATACGAGAAGGGTGGGGTAAGCTGCCGCTTCTGCTCCTCATCGTTCGCGATGGGACGTGGGCGTACTTGCTCGCCGTCTGTAAGGCCCTCACTGTTCAATGATCTCGGTTCTTGACTGAAACACGGAAAAGTGATCCTCATTGGCGACGTTTCTCTGTACGGGCTCACGAACCCCTCGTATGGTGACATTTTATATGGGTATGTACCTGCCTTCCAAGTCAACAGTACTACCCTGATTCGATTCTGCATTCTCAGGTGGATCGTCACAGCGTTTTCCTTCTCGGTGAGCTCGTTCATCTTGCGTGCGCTGCGTGTCAGTTATTCATTCGTGAATGTTAAGGGATACCGTATTCTGCTGAATCTCGGAGCGTCCCTGCACCGCGACACCCACACCACCATCACTGGTCCATTGCAGTTTGGGTGGGAGATTGGATCCGTCGCAGCACCATGCGTCGCCCAGAGCACTCACTGAAATGTGGGGATATCGATGTGCGAGTCGATAAAATTCAACAGCGTCGATGTGGTGCACGGCCCATCCCTATTTCCTAGAGTTAAGTTTAAGTAATTCAATTATAATTTGGCTGGGTATACATACATGTATGTGCTCTCCCCTCATATTCACGTCCATCGCCATCGCCATCTCCTTGCGTTCCCTGGGATTCTCCACTTCCGGCACGCGGTGTAGTAGGAACCGAGGGTGCGAATTGAAGGTGATCATGCCGCCGTCGAGGACGCATAAGGAACACGAAAGGTGAACTAACCTTCTAGCCCTATCAAGCCCGAGCTATCGCGTCAAGGGGAAATATACACTGAATCCGAGTCCGAAGATGCGGCTCAACACCACCGGACCAGAAGTGCGCAATCAGCAGAGGGCCAGGGGCTGGCGGCCGCACAAGAGGGAGGATCCGCTAGATGCGGAAGCGGGTTGCCTAGAAGGGGCGAATTACGATTCCTAGCAATGAATTACGATCCCTAACATTGTTAGGGATCGAGGAAACCCCACTTGATCAGAGCTCTCTTATACAATTTCGCCAAAATTTCGCAGCAATGTGAAAAGGATATATTGCGATGTTGTATTCGTAAGGCCCGGGACCTGTGCCTTTGGGAAAGAGGTGCGGATCCGCTAGGACCTCTGGCTTGGAATTTTGAAGAAGACAGTCATCTTTCCTCCGAAGGGCGGGTTTTCAGACAGATGCAAGGATTTTGAGAAAAGCTTTATATTCGAGTCAACATTCTGCACAAAAATGAGGCGGGGCGAAGGGTAAAACTTCTCTTGGGACATCCGCCCGCTGTAATGGCGATTTCCACGTTAGAGTCGGCGCTAAGTAGCAAACGTCGAGGAGGCTGTGCACCCACGCTCTTGCCAAACACACCAATACGGCTCATTCCTTTTCCTCCACACAATGCGCATCCGCTCGCCCAACTTGTCCGCACACTCCGACTCTGAGTCTGACAACGACGATGCACCGATAGCGGTACCCCACACGCAGGCGAAACGCGCTGTACGGACGCGGGATGCCGCAAGGGAGCAGATCGTTGCGAAGGAGCGGGGAAGGCAGAAAGAGAAGAATCGGGAAAGGGACAGGAGGTTGAAGGAGCGGGCAGGGGGAGAGAAGGGAAAGAAGGGTGATGATGAGGAGG